ATTAATAATGCCTAAATGAAAATATCATTGTTTGTGAATAGAAGATGCATAACATACAAATTTATGAGGAAATTGTGTATGATGATGCATAATAAATGTGGAGGTATAATGATGGTATAAACCATGAATTTTTGTGATAAAATATACTTTTACTTCATGTATGGAAATCATGAATGGATAAAAGTGATATTTTTGATATTGAGATTAAATCGTATACGGATTGGAAAATCCGTAGGAATGAGCCAAATAATTATGAGTTAAGGAGCTTGGCTGTTTAAAGACAAATGGATTAGTATTTAATTTTACTAATTGGGAATGTTGTATAAAAAGAGATAGAACAAATCCTAAGGACTTGGATTGTGAAAGATGCACCTTAAGTAGTCTTATGAGATGCCTTAAGGTAGGAATGGGTAACCACTAAGTTACATTAGGAGTAGGCCTCATTGGCTACTCAAGATTGAGGAACTCTAGGCATAGAACTTGCTAGTGAGTTAGTATCGTGACTAGAGGAAGCCTCTAGCACGATTAAGAATGACTGGAGGAAGCCTCCAGCATTCGTGTAGGACGACTAGAGGAAGCCTCTAGCGTAGTGTAGAATGACTAGAGGAAGCCTCTAGCATAATCTAATGTGACTGGAGGAAGCCTCCAGCACAAAGTATGTAAGGTGATTAGAGGAAGCCTCTAACACCGAATTTAGTGACTAGAGTAAGTCTCTAGCACGACGAAACATGACTAGAGGAAGCCTCTAGCATGGTAAACTAATATAGATGGGCGTGACTTGAAGTCACGGGGAAAGGGTTGAATGTTTTCAAAGTGAACATGGGCCTTCGGGCGACTACTTGACTTTATATATAAAGTAAGTATATTTTTCAAAAGAGGGTAACCACGGGTTATGACCTATATTATATTACCACTCTATTTGAGGGTCTTGGAAATTGAAACTTTGATTATACTTAGTATAGTTGTCATTGTACTTGTCAAATGCTTCCAAGTACTGACCTCCCCTTCACGGGGGAGGCCACCTCACAGTTTCAGGTAGGGGATAAAGCTCGCTACCTTTGCCGTTGCTTGGGAAGCTCGAAGGAGAGAAGACGTGGTTCGTGCTTCCTCCGTATCTATTTTAAAAACATATAAATAAATGCTCATGGATATTATTTTTGAATGATTATTTGGGGGCTGGTATGCCCATGTTCGCCAAAGTGTGGCATAAACACCTATTTAAATGTTTCCGCTGCCTTAATTAATTATTTTACATTATGATTGTTTATGGATGTACTATTGTGAATGGTATTCAAGACGCCTTGTATGGTATGGATGAGTTGGACTGCGGTTGGCTATTCGTACTGTACGGCGGGTTGTTGACGTGTCCGGTAGGTCCGGGGCGTGACACGACTATTTTGATTCGGCCTATCTTTGGCGCGGTCATTTCCCTAGCATTCTAGGGTTTTTCTTTCCGGCGGTGAGCGCGCTTTTTCACTATGTCAGGTAGTTTTGGTCTTCCCTTTGTGATAGTGCTGGAAGGTTGTTTAGGCAGGATTTTGGTGTAGCTTTGAAATCCTTGTAAGTGTTCTTATGATTCCTGCTGCAAAGCTTTCGCTTGGTGCTAGTCTAGTTCGGGGGCTGGATGTGCAGATTCAAGAACATGATGTAAACTTAGAAGGATGAGGAAGAAGATGCAATATTGTCAGTCCGTCACTCTCCGGAACCGCCGCCATGGAGGGATCAGGATTCAGGCGGTTAGAGTTTGGCAAAATTTGCTTCAAGTTTGGATCTGGCCGCATGCGATTTATTGCTCTGCTTTTCTTTCCAGTTTTACTTATGTCTTTTTTAGACTTTTTACAATGTTTTTGGCTTTCTTGTGTTAGAGGTAATTTGGAGGTGCTGATGGCCGGTTATTTGCCTCAAATCTCCCGTACGTTTAGCGAAAAAATTTGCTCTGTTTTAGGTGAATTTTTCTATGTCTGATCAGGGACTGAGGGAACTCTTCGTATTTTGAATTTATTGAAGTGGTAAAGAGTACGGAGACCTCAATGGTCACAAAGAACTCTCTATGTTGCTCTTTTGGATAGTCAGCGATTCGTGTTGCTTCTTTGGAGGTGATCGTCTTAAAGTCTGATCGTAGGGCTTTTCTTGAGTCTAGATGGAGTCTGTTAGAAGATAGTTGGCGCATCTTGAGTTTGTGGCTGGGTGTAACTCCAAATTATTGGTTAAATTAATATAGTTTGGCATTTTCTTTCAAAAAAAATTATACTTTTTTTAATTGATATTTTTTATATAACTTTTGTAGAAAGATATGATTTTATTAATTTATTATAATGAGGGAAGAATAGGAAGAATTACACTCTTATTACTGTTATTAGCGAATTTAAAACTCATACTCATATTTTTGTAATTTTGTTGCTTTCCCTTTTAAAGAATGAATTTATGGTTCCCTTTTTTATCTTTTTCTTTTTTATAAATCTTAACCATACTCCCTCCGTAAGTTAAAAATCTTCCCGTTTCAAAAGTAAGTAGATTAAGAATAGTGAAAGAGGATATGAATTATTGAGGGTATGATGGGAAGATGGTGGAATGATGCGATGAAATGTAGGGTAAATCCAAAAAAGTAGTTGTAATAGTATATTATTTTTAGAAATGAGAAGATTTTTTGTTACAGACGAAAAAGGAAAGTGAGAAAACTTTTTTGTTACGGAGGGAGTACAATTTTATGTACACAAAATTTTGTTGTATTTTTTTTGAAGAGAGAATTATTGTAATTTTAAAAACTGAACTTAATATGTATGTGTGCGTCTCGTCATACCAGTCATAGCCTCGTAGGAGCACTATTTAAAACAAACAACATGCATTCTGAATTTCTAAATTATATTATCCACAACAAGAGAGGGATCCACCCGAAATCCCCTGATTGCAAAATACAGCCAATCAGCAACCAGAGATCCGGATGATCCATCCTCAAGCAGCTAATCCAAACCTGTAAGAGATATGGTTTCATTCATGGTAGGGTCCGTAAAGGCCAAAAGTACATCGCCTGATTGCCCTATTTTGGTAGGGAAATTCATATTTATTTATTTATTTATTTATTTATTTATTTATTTATTTATTTATTTATTTATTTATTTATTTATTTATTTATTTATTTATTTATTTATTTATTTATTTATTTATTTATTTATTTATTTATTTATTTATTTATTTATTTATTTATTTATTTATTTATTTATTTATTTATTTATTTATTTATTTATTTATTTATTTATTTATTTATTTATTTATTTATTTATTTTATATATATTCTCTAATATCAGTCGATATCATTTTCACTGTTATGCTACCGAAATTTCAACACAATTAACGTCAATCGTTCCAAAATTGCCATTTTCTTCCTTATCCACTTATGACTTCATTCACTCTTCGACAAATATTTAAAATGCGAAACTAAGGTGATAATATGTTTATATTTATTAAATTAATTACCTGGTTATTACATTAAGTGATTCATTCATTGTATGATGGAGTAGCATCATTAGTGTCGGGATTCCTAAAACTCTAAAAGTGTTACGTGTTAACAGGACAAAAACCAAAACCCATCACGTAATTATACAAATAAATCAAAGGTATTATTTCAAATATAAATAAATAAAATAATTATATCAACTAATCTAAGCATTCTACCCTCACTTATTATCAAGGTCGTAGGGCATTCACTATAAATCAATACCACTCTCACTTATACAATTTTTTAAAAATTGTCAACAAAATAAATAATAACTAACACAATATATTGAAATAAGGATAGTGTACACGAAATCAAGCATTCGAGCCCAGCTGGTTGTGAGGTTACTGTGCGTAGAGGGAGGTCTCGAATTCGAATTCCGCTATGCACATAAAAGTTTGAAACTCAATGGAATGAGTTTCAACCTGATTACTCCAGGCTCTCCTCCCCCAGACCCCTGGAATAAAACAAAAGGATAATGTACAAGAATTTGATTATTATTATACATAATGACTATAATAGCAACACTTAATTAATACATTTATGTTTAATTTTACATCATAGTGATCATAAAGATATGCCCATTCTAATTTTACTGATAAGCGTGATTGATAACACCGAAATTTTTTGAAATTGGTGAATTCTGATTGAAACAGGTGAAATGTTACATTAGAGACTATAAAGTGTTAGGTAAATGCAATATAACCAAAAATAATGGTAAAAAAGTGTTACATTTTCTCTAATGTAACGCTTTTCACTGATATTGTAACACTTTTGAGTGATACATTAGGTGTTGAAATGTTGTAGTGATAAAAAATATGTTTAAATTATACTTTACTAATATAATCAAGAAAATGTTATATGAAAACAGTGAAAATATTTCTTTTCAACACATTCAACCCATTCAATCAAGAAAAAAAATCAATAAAACTGAATTAGATTATTACACTATCGAGAGTACAATAAGAACAACAACCAAATTACCCTAGTGGACTCCAGTAAGGGGTCGAATGTACACAATCTTAACCATTTACTAAAATATAAACAAGTTGTGTCTAGATGACACATAATGATATCATATCGAAAATTGCATGAACTGATTGTTGCTTCGTAACAAAAAAACACAGAAAATCTAGTGAGTCATTTTGTTTAATTCTATCGTATTCTCAAACCAAAAAAATAATGAGTACACCATTGGAAATGATGGAAATGATGGAAATATTACACTATCAAGTAAAACAAAAAATTACACATTTTATAAAATAGTTCTCCAAAAATAGTGTTTAGTCAAAAATATACTTATTAAATAGACTCCTTTTCTACACTGTTTTTCCTAATAATATTTTAACTAAAAAAACTCAAAATCAACACAGGACTTAAATGATGAGCACTTAGTCACTTACACATCAGCCGACCACAGAAAGAGTTCATTAGTTTGAAAATAAAAAAGCCTACCACCACCTATTAACAAGAGATTTTTACACGAAAGTGTGTTACATCAGACGTACAAAAACAAAGGGCGTCACAAACCCGGATTCCCCAAATTAAACCAAAGGGCGTTTGGCTTTTAATTTAATTCAATGCAAAAGTTCTCATTTGAGGCATTGTGGGGCGTATCCTCATCACCTAGTGCCAAAATAATTGCACATTTCATTTTTTTCACTTATCATATGCTATTGGCATCCAACCTTTTCCCCAAAATAATAATATTATTATTTGGTTTTTTTTTCCCTCTTTCTTCCAAACATGCACAAGAGAAAATCCAATGATCTTTCTTCTTCTTCATCAGCATGTCGGAAAACGTCCGCAAGCGCCGCGGCAGGAACCAAAACCGCCCGCGCTTGCGACTGTTGCATCGGGAAGACGGCCGGGTGGTATTGCCCGGCCGACGACGCCTTCTTGTGCCAAAGTTGTGACCGTTCGGTACATTCCGCTAACCTTTTAGCCCGAAGACACCAACGGGTTCCTCTCAAGATTCCACCTTTACCCCGATCGATATCGTCTTCTTCGTGGGATTCCGGTTTTACTCGAAAGCCCCGAACCCCACGAAGAAGAAGGTGTTGTTTGGCTAAGAATGCTAAGAATTACCATTCTTATAGACAAGAGGTGGAACTCACCCTTGTCCCGGAAGTAAATAGCATTAGTGACGAGAATTCTCATCATGATGGCTATAGTGAGGCGGAGGAGGAAGAGGAAGAGCTCCTTTACCGGGTACCGATTCTCGACCCTTCAGTGGCGGAGATGTGCACTTCCGGTGAGGGGAAGAATATTCCGGCGGCATCTCGAGATTTTGGCAAGAAAAGTAGTAACGGAAGCAGTTATGAGCCTCACGGAGTGATTGTTCCGTCAGATTTTGCGACGGAGGTGGAGAGCTTATTGCTGGGGAAAGGAATTGACGGGGAGGAGCCGTTATTGGATTTGGAAGAGATGGGGCTTTTGAGTAATTTCAGTCAAGAAGTCAACGTGTCTTTGGAGTTGACCGATGGCGGCGACGATTCGTCACCGGCGTTGACCGGTGAGGATGAGAGGGTGGAAGTTAGTGAGAGGAAATTGAAGAAGTCTGGTGCCGGGTTTGGGTCGGGTGGGTCGAAAATGATGTGTTTGTTGAAGCTTGATTATGAGAGTGTGATCGCAGATTGGGCTGACAGAAGATGCCCATGGAGTAGCGGTGGCGGACGCCCGCATCTGGATCCGTATGATTCCTGGTTTGATCTCACGGTAATTAGCTAACATTTTTTCTTCGAGGATGATGATTATAATAATGAGATAATTGTAGATTTAGGGAAGTGGGATTTGATTAGACTTTTATTAAATGTAAAAGTAGAATCAAAATCACTTTTTTGAAAGGTTATTTGATTTTTTAGTCTCTCAATTTTGAAAAAGTAAAAAGTAGACCCAAACACTCCTTAGCAATATAAATATAAAGTTATAAACTATTTCATCCATTGTTTAATTCTTGTAACATTTTGATTTTTGCACTTTACACAACCTTACTTTAATCACGATTTTTTACTAATATACATAATCAAATTATTACGTATAAAATGTTATTGATTTCCCATCAATGTGAATTTTCAAAATATAAATTTTTTACTATGTTTACTAATACATTATTAAATATAATTACAATCAAAATTGTTCGTTGACAAACATGAAGTCAAAGTCTTTAAAGAATTAAAGAACAAAGGATAGTTGTCTTACGTCTATTACTAGGTTAGTAATTTTACTTCGTTTTGCAACTTTACTACATTATTACATCCTTTAACTAAAAAATACTGCCACTAATTACTTCCACTAATACATTATTCCGGGGAAATTTCTCCCATAAGGTAGTTTTTCCAATGTTATTTTGTCAAAAATTATATAATGGAGTAAAAAGTCAGTAACATGGGGCAGACCTATTGGCAATGTTCTAAAAGGCGTAAGGCGTGCCGAGGCGGCACTGCCAAGCCTTAAGCCTTTGGAGCCTAGACGAGATTAGGCGGGCCTTAGGCGTGAAAAGGCGTTTTGATTTTTTATTCGTCATTTTAATATTTCTAGAGCTATTTTAAATATTAAAATTTAATGTTAATTAATTTCATTAAAAAACATCATACTTTTCAAATTTTTTACCAAAAAAAAATTGTTGCGCCCCATATCTAAACAATATGGAGTATAAAATTACCAATTACACAACAATTACACAAAAAATAGAACTGATAAAGTAGTTTAATAATAATAAAAATATTATAAATGAAAATAAAAAATGTCTAATACTTAGTATATGACCAAAAATAAGGGTAATAAATAAAAATGTGATTTAGTAATTTTTAGTGACTATAATCACATTCAAACTTTTCATTACAGTGAATAGAAGAATATATTCACAATTACTTTTACACATATTTTTCATTCTTAAATTTCATTACCATAATATTTTAGAAAAAACTTATTAGGAATAACAACGGTAAGAAGGTTGATAAATGATCATGATAACAGTAAAATACATTAATAATAACAATATAACATGAATTCCAACAACAATAAAATAGTACGGAGTATTGAAATAGAGGGATTTCTTATTACACCATATACTAGTAAAAATGTCCCACACCGAATGATTTTTCACTCCAATATAAAAACGTAAATGTGTATGGCATTCGCATTCCACTACATGGAACAAAAGTCCCACACCGGAACTACATCCATATTCTCTATCCCATTTAGTTATAAATAAAGCGTAGCATCACCGCCTATTGTCACGCGTTGTTGGCAGGCGGGGCGTTTGCTTCGCGCCTCACGCCTAGGCCCGCCTAAGCGGCGCCTTTTGGCGCGTTTTAGAACACTGCCTATTGGTACAAAATCATGGCAGTAACTGAAGATACACACCGAAGCATCACATATCTCATATTATTAATGTAATGTTACCAATTTACGGATCATGTCGTAATATGTAACTAACAAGTTTGTCACATTGATGACTCTTTCACTGGAATATCCAATTTTAGTAAAATTTCATCTCAAAAACGAATGCAGGCATTAACTTTCCCTTAAACATAGTGCATTCATGTGATAAGGTGTTCAAAGTGCACAAACTCATAAATAGTCAACATGACATACAAATGAGTAACTTTGGAGGATAAAAATGAACTGCGATCGTAAATAACTACTCTTTCCACGAATTTATCTTTTCTATTATCTTTTTTGAATTGTCTTAAAATACATGTGACATTTTCTTTTGGGCAATGCTACTTGTACACATTTCTCGTTGCCTATGTACAAAGCAGTTTCTGAATGAGCTCCCTGTGTCCACATGTAACTAGGGGTGTCCCTGTGTCCACATGTAACTAGGGGTGTGTAGAAAAAATGTGTATAAGTTATGTGTGAAAAATATCTTTTTCCTTTTCTTTTTTTGGAAAGAATTCAAAGAAATACTATGTATGTGATCTCCACCATATCATTTTATTATACTCAAATTACAATTGTAAATTTTATTTTTTTAACCGCTTTATTAATAACTGTGTCAAATTAGAATATGACACATAAAACGTGACAGGGTAGTACAATACTAAATATAATTAGGGTCTAAATATCGTGTATCAAACTTTTGTACGTGACGTGTGATCACTAAGATTGGGGTAAAACGTATCAATTTTGCTATCTAAGTATGAACGTTTTAATCATTTATTTTAGGAAATATTGATAGTAATAATCCCAACTATTGGCGGTCCGCTCATAATAATCCCGGCCCAACTATTGATTATTACAGAATAATCTCAACTTTAGGGACCTTCCGCCAATAATGGCTCCTATGAATAAATTCTTGTAGTTTCTAAAGTGGATGAGGTGAGATATAACAAGTAATCCCTCTAAATAATCTCAACTTTTAATTTTTACGCTTAATTTCTATTTAAAATTCACTTTTTATAGAAGTAATATATGGTCATGGACCATTATTGGCAGATAGTCTATATAGTTGGGATTATACAAAAATAATCAATAGTTGGGATTATTTTCAGCGGACCGACAATAGTTGGGATTATTATTTTCAATTTTTCCTTTATTTTACGAGTCTAATAAGATACACTTCTCTAAATGTGACAAAATTAAAGAACATTTCTCAAATGGGATCTTTATTTTCTAAAAAAAAAAATTGACTAGTTTTATTGTGCTATTAGGAGTTTAGGACTCAATGAGTCTTGTAAACATGATGAAAGTGATGCATTTTATTCGTCTTTTACTGTTATATGCAATCATATTTTCAAAAAAAAAACACTCATAACTATCTTTGTATCTCATATATTGTGTTTTAAAAGATTCTAAATAAAACGCCTCATTTGATTATGTCATGGAATTGCACTACTATTTAACCCAAAAATGCATAGTTAAGCACTTTATGGTTCGATGACCTAATTGTGATACTCTCAAGGAAGAACTCACGCCTTCAAAGCTCATCACAGTCAATTAGTCAACGATGTTGACATTAAATGGAACGTATGTTATAACATGTGAGAAAGTACGGTAAAAAAACACAAGAATGCATAAAAATATAAAATTCACCGAATGTTTTTTGTTTTTGTTTTTGTTTTTCTTAGGAAGGAAGAATGGTGGATGCATATGTTGAAATGGGAGCAATGAGAAGCAATGGGCATCCACGAGGAGCAGCTTTGATGGATGAAGAGAGAAAGGAGAGAGTGTGGAGATACAGAGAGAAGCGGCGAAAGAGGCTGTTTTCGAAGAAAATAAGGTACCAAGTCCGGAAACTCAACGCGGAGAAGAGGCCCAGAATGAAAGGCAGGTTCGTCAAGCGGTCTAATCCTTGTCCAGTACCCACCATTTAGGCCCGCCCACGTGCAATATGCGCAATCTCCCCTCCGTATCGCCTTTCGATTTTAGTATCTACTTTTTTGCATTTTGCATTATCATCTCTAGGTAGTGTGAACCTATACAGTTCACCACTATTGTATATCCTAATAATTACTCTGTATCATTTTTCCATTATATTAAATTTAAATCTTCCTCTAATTGATCGTCTTCCTCTAATCATTCAATTCTATTTCTTAGGCTTGATTGTTTTGGCGATTTTGGAGGTATGTGGGGAGAATGAGAGGAGCTTTTTAAATTATTTGTCTATTAAAAGGTTTGGTAATTGAAGTATGTTACAAAAAAACTACAACCAAGTATAACAAGCAATTTTAATTGAATTTATTCTAATTTTCCCAAAAAGTGGTGTAATTGTAAGTACTTTCTCAAAGGTACTTAAAAACATGATAGCAAATGATATGATGGATGATAAGTTACACCTTCGTGAAATCCTTAAGCAAAATCGAATTTATTTACTTACTTAATTGTGCTAATCAACTTTGACAAATCAATATAAAATCTGAGTTCATCTTTTTAGTTATTTATACACATTTTTAATCGCATTTTACACATATAAATAAATTTTTTACTTTGTTATGTTATCTTATACCAATGACTATTAAAAACTATGTAACAAACAATATATAGCTACATTACGTGATAAAATTGTAAACATTAAAATTGCAAGTTCTTTGGGAGGAAATGAAGTTTTATAAATGAAATATATGATATAAATGAAATTATTCTCTTTAATTCGACTGATTTTAGATTCAAGTAGAGGCTGTGGCTTATATATCATGAAGCAGATGAGCAAGATTGCACGTTATTTGTGCCAGAAATGAAGGATTACTGTGTATGTATTCCACTTATGGTAATAAATAACTATTCAATTGGCTAATATACATATATTGTCTAATCACAAAAGTTTTAGACATGTTTACATCATATGTTACAAACCACTGCTTATATATTAAGACGTTCGTTCATAAGCGGTGTGTAAAATAAGCAGTGTTATAAGTTGATGTTTGTTTCACAACTTAAAACATTATCTAATGTTAAAATGTTCAAAATAACCTTATATATATGTAGGCACACAAACATTCATTGTATATTAAAAACTATGTACCGTTATCGGACCGAAACTACGATATACCGAAATGCGGTATACCGAAACTTCGATAAGGAAACGCTATAAAAATTTTGCAGACCGAAAAATTTGGTACAGTAAAGGTATGAGAGAAAATATTTGGTATACCGTACCAAACCACCCCTATTTGCCATTTGGGACAGTTAAGCAACCACTTTAAATAATGACCCTAATTTTTATTAAATTAATTACACCGAGCTTATTAATTTAGATGCAATGTACGGAGTATTAGGATGTTTTTACTTGGACTGTAATTTGCTGGTCTGGTCTGGTCTGAACTGGTCTGGTCTGGTCTGGTAAGGTCTGGTTTCTTTGTATTTTATAACTATCCAAGTCTGGTCTGGTCTGGTCTGAACTGGTCTGGTCTGGTCTGGGACAAATTACAGTCCAAGTAAAAACATCCTTAGACTGCGAAGTCCGACGATCATCCAAATGATTGATGAAGTCTGATTTGTATATATGGTCGGCATAAGCTAGTGGCATTAGAAAGGCCCAATTATAATTACACGCAGTTCATGTCTAATTTTAAGCCCAATAGCATTTATATGGACAGCTTGATAATTATAATTAAATGTTCACAGTAGGCCAGTAGCTGATCATGTTTATACATGTACTAGTTTCGTACACGCGCGTTGCGCGATAGAATAGGTGTCCAATGTAATTTTGTTAGAAAATATGTATATTGTATGTTGATTTGATATGATAACTTTTAGTATGTGGCATATACTAGCATTGGTGTCAACTTAGAATTAGAGTATTTAACATTCCCTCGTCATGATCCTTGAAAGGGGGTCGAACAAAATAAAAATGAACATAAGGGCTAGACCATGTTTTCGTAATTTCATAAGAAAAGTATTGTAAACATAGCAAGAAATATCTAAATACATATCTAAATACTAATATCTAAATACTAATGGTTTTGTGTTTAATCTAAGAATAATGAACTAACAATCACATGGTGATGTATGAGATATAAAACAACATGTAGAGTTAACGAAAATCAATTGAAATATAAAATTCAATCACTAATATTTATAAAATAAATATTTTTTATTGTTCAAAGGAGGTAGTATTTTACTAAATATTAAGTATTAATTATACATTTTTAGTAATAAACATTTATAACTATACATTAAATATGCATTGTAATGTTATGAAGTTGGAGCAGTCTTGCCACTTTGTGCGCAAAGTAAAAGTTACTAATCAAAATATTATGAACTCACATTCTAGTACTATTGTCTGCAATATAAAAGTTACTAATCAATATACTATGAACTCACATTTTAGACGGCGCGGAGCCAGGGCATTGAGTCGGACTGGACCGGTACAAAGAAATTTCTTGAAAAAACTTTTAAACAGAATTTTAGACTAAAAATACCGTTGTTTTTTTTTTCTAATTTGGGTTGGACTGTGGCTAGGGTTGGCCCTCCTAGATACGCCCCTACAATTTAGTGTTTTTTCTAAAAGAAATTATCCTAAATAGGATCAAAACATAGAAGAAAAGCCAAAATAGGACTTATCATGTTTTATTCTCATTATAGGACTCATACGCTCCTCTTCCAATTTTTTACACTTTCTGCAATGTCCGAAAAGTCCCTGTCGCTCAATCCTTCTCTTATTCCTCATCTCCGCCTCCAACATTAAGCGGGTCCTCATGACCTCATCGCCGCCTTCGACATTTCTTCTCCAGGGATGTTCAAAACTCCCAATTACTTCCTTTGCTCATCTTCTAATCTCTCTGTACCTCCATCTCAGTTTTCTTTATCGGAGATTTCACCGACCTATCTCTTCTCCCATTTCTAATTAAATTGGAAACACCTCTGCATCCCCCCATCTTCTCCCTCTCCTCTTCCGTTGAGAAGATTCATCTTCTAAATTAAAATGATGGTGATGCCAACTTTAATTTAGAGTTTCAGGTATTACTCTTAGCTTCCTTCTCCTCCTCCTCCTCCTCCTCCTCCTCCTCCTTCTTTTATATTTAAAAAATGTTATGTTTGATATCAAATTTTCATGAACATGACATTTACAAATGTATAAGACATGTCAGTCGCTTCTTCTTATTTCACTTTATTAAAAATGTCATGTTTTTTTTATGAGAATGTCATTATTACTCTGTGAAAATGTCAAGTTTTGCTTCAAATTTTCAATAAAGATGTAAAGTGAAACTTTCATGAAGATGACATTTACAAATTTATAAAACATGGCAGTCTCTCCTTCTTTCAGTTTATTAAAATTGTCATGTTTATTATGAAAATGTCATGAGAATGTCATTATTTACTCCGAAAATGTCAAGTAAAACTGTCATCTTAAATAAATGTAATGACATAACAGTGACAGTACTTTCAAATTAGTGTTTAATAAAACAACTATGATGACATTCTCAGATTCAAATGATGAGAAAAATAATGTAGACATTCAAAAGAAGAACAAAAACAAAAAAAAACATGGAAGAAGAAAACATATACTTCGTATATGAGTTTGAGAAGAAGTAAACAGAGGAGGTGGAGGAAGATGAAGGGGGAGGGGGAGGGAGCTTACCTGCAGGGCATGTAGCAGAGCTATCATCGTCGGCTACATTCATCGCAGCCATCATCGCTGCACAAACTAATCGCAGTTGTGAAGAAAGTGAGGGAATGCGTAAACCAGGGGCAATTTTGCGATTCAACCTTATTTTTAGTCCTATCGATTTAAACGGAAAACTAATGGTCTTAGTTTTGCAATATTGATATCTTTTAGTCCTATTTAGCCAAATCTCTCTTTTTCTAATTATAGGGTTGCCCCCTATATACTTCAACATTTCGGGGGGAAGATACGTTTTTTTTGGAGCAAGGGGGGGGGGGGGGGATACATTGAAAGACTCAAATGGAGACTTCGGTTGTGCAATATATGAAAATCCTGAAATAAAGTAAAAAAATGTTTGACACCTTTTCGATCTTCATCTGTGTCTCCTGCTAAGCCATATTCAGTTGTGCTTGCTTCTTTTTGGTACTTCTCGGCGAAAATTTTACTACGTATTTGGCAGAGAAATACACTCATGATATAGAGTGCAAAATGAGTGAACATTGTGTTCTTCATCTGGATGTGTGATATCATCTGAAAAGACACAGAAAAATTAGATGACTTCTCAACCAAAAAAACATAAAGCCATGAGAAACACTAAATTCTCACTCTAAATGATTTATAATGGATGGCAGAAATTACAATTTTTTTAACATGATAAGGTCAAAATAGGTCTTCACTAACACGTAAATACAATGACATCAGCACCTAGAACACATTGGGGAATTGCAACATGGTTAACAATGAGATACCATAAAAAGAAACGGATAAGTGAGAGTGTGATCAGAGGCACAAACATTCAAGAAACACTCTTATCTGTTTATTGACTTTTTACACAATGCTACCACCTTACAATGAAAAATAAAGACCCCATTAACATCAACAACCCAACTACATCTCTAGTGATGTATGCATAATAGAAAATTTTGAATTGCAGGAGTAACCATGTTTGGTTCCGGTTCTGGACCAGCAGTTCTAGGCTCAATAATAGAAGGCATGGTTCAAAATCAGCCAGTTTTAGGCGAGTTATCTAAGAAAACAAGAGAGCGTAGAAACGAAATTGAAGTGCATTGAAAGTATGGTGCATTTTAAGCACTTCATCAAATAACATTATTTCTTCTTTTGCAACCCCTGTCTCACCCCCGAATCAACTAATCATAAATAATTAGTTATTTAATTAATTCTGAGCAGTTTAATTTCAATCTTTTTTTAGCAGAAGAAATGACAAACACATTAGCAACAAGAAGCCATATCTCTAACATCATGTAAAATTATACTACGTATCTTCAAAAATCATGCTCAATGAAAATGAAGCAATAGCCTTCTGAAAACATTGTAAACAATTCGTCATCGCTTTATACGATTTAATAAAACCAGCATGCTTATCTGCACAAAGTTTACGTTTCATTGGCAATGAAACATTGTTTTATATACATATATATGATTATGATTATAGGGAGTTTCGGTTGGGCGCGCTCTATCGCGAG